CAAGAGCCTCTCCATAGAGAAGATTTAGATGAAGAAATTCAAGAAGCTGAAAAACCTAAGGTAATTCTAGTTCATGATGAGTGACTAGACATATTATATTTCAATTAAATTGTTATAGATGACTGAGTCAGGCAGTTCTCCAGAGCCTCTTGAACTACCAAAAGATACATCAAGTCAGACACCAGCACCACCTAAACAACAAGCTGGATTCAACTCTCCAATGCTTCATGTACTGGCTCCTGCCTTACCAGGAGCAGGCAATGGTAATTTTTAGACATACATCCGTTATTTATTCTTCTGTTATCATAATTGTGATCATGTCAACAATCTGTATCCAAGCATACACATATACATACTACATACACAAACACACACACATACATCAATTTTTTATGAGATATGCCAAAATGTTCAGAAGATTCTGAAATGTAAAGATAAAGTTTATTTTGGAATTACGATAACCTACCCTATGGAAAGTAAACTAGTAGGCCGCATGGCATCGCGTCTTTAGGCAAATTGCTGGAACTTCTCGTACCAAAAATATTTTTTTTTAAAAGATTAACATTTTTGAAACAAATTTACCTTGAAAAAATTAGATTTTTGAGAAACTATAAATTTTTGAAAAAAAATTTTTTTTTGGAAAGAAGACTTTTTGGAAAAAAATTTTTTCTTTATTTTGAAATATTTTGGAAGTTCTGAACTTTTTCTCAAAGCAATCGTACTGCATTAACTGCATTAAAATTCTGATAATTTTATGTGCATATGTCATTTATGACCGCCAAATGGCATTTTTTTTACCTTTTTTACTAGATCTCCGAAATCGCTAGACCTGCCTCTATGAAAATTTAATCAGTTGTTCATCTTGTCAATGCAAGTAAAATGTTTTTTGAATTATTAAAATCGGACACTCCGTTCTCTTAAAAACTGAGTTACCGTTTGTGGCACTTTTTGCCCCGTATATTCGAAACGGCTAAACCTGCCTATGCCAAAAACTAATCAGCACGTCTCTTTATCAACAGCAATGGAATGTTTTTTGAATAATTGAAACCTGCTGAACCGTGTTCCCATATTTGTCGACGAAAATTTGTATCCGCACACACACACACATACATCCATTTTTTCTAATTGTAAGGTATGCCAAAAGCTCTGAAACGTAAAGATATATAAAAATTTTGATTTTCGATTTTTTTGCGATTACTATAACTTACCCTACGGGAAGTTAAAAATCATTAACATTAGAAAAAAATGGATGCATTGTGTGTGTATGTGTGTGTGTGTGTGTGTGCGGATACAAATTTTTGTCGACGATTTCGGGAACACGGATCAACCGATTTGAATAATTCAAAAAACATTGGATTTGTATTCAAATTCAAAATCGGTAACTCACTTCTTAGGAGAACGGAGCGTCCGATTTTAATAATTCAAAAAAAAATTTACTTGTATTGACAAGATGAAGAACTGATTAAATTTTTGGGAATGCAGGTCTAGCGGTTATGAACTCTCAATAAAAATAAGTTTAAAAAATGCCTTTTGGCGGTCAAAAATAATCATTAGACATATGCACATAATAATGTATACATTTTGTGTAATTTTTTTGGGTTTTGTACCAAGATTTTTAATTGCGGTACGGGAAGTTCCAGAAATTTGCCTTAAGGCACGATGCCGTGCACCTCACTAGTTACATATATATATATATTTTAATTTATTATTTTGTTCTATTTTCGCAGTTGCCTCTCCGACTTCGCGAACGCCAGAAAGTGCAGAAATGAAGGCACATGAAATGCTAACTGAAATTAACCAACAACTTCGTCAATATCCGCAGCAACAGCCTCAACAACAAAGTGTACAACAGCAACACATGCAATATGAATTACAACAACAGTATTTACAACACGAAATACAACAACAGCAGCATTTACAACATGAGTTACTACAGCAACAACAGCAAATACAAGAATTACAGCACCAACAGCAACTACAAGAATTACAGCATCAACAGCAACTATCAATTCATGAACCGCAATCGAATCAACAGCAGAACATTCAGCAGCATACACATGTTCAAAATGAACAGCATAATATTCAGCAGCAAGCACCTGTTCAAAATCAACAGCATAATATTCAGCATCAAGCACCTGTTCAAAATCAACAGCATAACATTCAGCATCAAGCACCTGTTCAAAATCAACAGCATAACATTCAGCAGCAAGCACCTGTTCCAAATCAACAGCATAATATTCAGCATCAAGCACCTGTTCAAAATCAACAACATAATATTCAGCAGCAAGCACCTGTTCAAAATCAACAGCATAACATTCAGCAGCAAGCACCTGTTCAAAATCAACAGCATAACATTCAGCAGCAAGCACCTGTTCAAAATCAACAGCAAGCACCTGTTCAATATCAACAGCATAACATTCAGCAGCATGCACCTGTTCAAAATCAACAGCATGACATTCAGCAGCATGCACCTGTTCAAAATCAACAGCATAACATTCAGCAGCAACCACCTGTTCAAAATCAACAGCATAACATTCAGCAGCAAGCAGCTGTTCAAAATCAACAGCATAACATTCAGCAGCAAGCACCTGTTCAAAATCATCAGCATAACATTCAGCAGCAAGCACCTGTTCAAAATCAACAGCATCATATTCAGCAGCAAGCACCTGTTCAAAATCAACAGCATAACATTCAACAGCAAGCACCTGTTCAAGATCAACAGTGCCAACAGCAACAACCTTATCAGCAGCGACAACAGCTTCGACAACTTCAGCAATACCAAAATCAGCAAGTTCATCAGCAGTCGCAGGGTCAAAATGTGCAACCAGTAATGGAGATAAATCAACAGTTTCAGGATGCCCATAACAATGCACAAAAGGAACATAAGTTAACAAATACCATGAGAGACATTCAAAACAAACCCCGAATTGCATCAGGTGGAGGTTAGTAATTGATAATTGGCTCTTTTTTCGTAATGGTCTTACAAAATACTTGAGGTTATGGTGACCAACATTACTAGTTGAAGCATCAACTCTTACTGCTTCTTCAATTTTCAAAAAACTATAAAACTTACAGATCATTAGTTCATACCTTCTTTGATGGTTTATTTGCTGCCCTCAACTCGAAGTTGTTGAACAACTAAAGAATAACCAGCAGCAATAAAATATTTGTGGGTTGAATTCTCAAGTCAATAATGACAACTTCTAAACCATCCAATTTCCCCTCATAGTAATCACCGCCACAACACAAAAACAAATCCCACCGTTTTGGTGGTCACTCCTTCATCTCCTGTCCCACTTCTACATCTGCTTCCACTTCCAGCACTACCACCTCCTCCATGTCCACCATGCCCTCCATGCCAGCCACCTCTCGGCCGGTGTGGTCTCGGCTGCTGCTTTCCTGGATCGGCTAAAGGCTGCTGCAAGTTGATTGGATGCTGCGG